ACTCTCCCACCCGCTCCTTTTTTTTTATTCTGGGATTTATTTACCTTCTATGGCTGTCACTGGAGCTGAGAGCCGGCTTTAGCTCTGAGGTTCAGCTCCATCCAGCTCTGAGACCTCGGCTGCTGAAAGCAGGGATCTGGGCTTTGTTTGGGTTCTATAATTGTAACACTGTTGCAGTCCTGCTAGGTCCAGCTATTATGGCTGAAAGCAGGTTTTTGGGGTTATTTACCTTCTATAATTGCAAAATTGTTTCTTAAAGTGCAGCTCAGAGGCCGGCAGCGGCAGGCAGGGAACATTAGCTTCCTCCGTCACTGAGCAGTTAATTTGCATATCACCCTGATTAGCCAATGGGAAGGGTGGCGGAGGTACAGCTAATTACCATGTTTCTCTTTTATTAGATAGGAAATTTCCAAATACTAAAAAACAAAATGTTTATATGTTCAGTATATTTTTGGAAATAGATGAGGAAACTCCTTTAGAAACTGGTATACATAGAACAGGGATTTCTGACTACTTTTCTGTTGGAATCACTGAGACCTGGGTTGCGCACAATCTCATTGTCCACTGTGCTGCTGGGAATAAAATGGAGTGCTCCAGGCTGCAGCGCTGAGTGACTCTCAACCACAGCCCCCTCTGAGTAAGCAATCGCTATTACTCAGCTCTGTGAAACTCAGTGTGTCCACACTGAGCACATCACCCACCTTCCTACCCGCAGCCGTCTCCCGTCAGTCTTTCCATCTCCACCACTGTCACCATCGTCTGAGACCCAGGTATTTCTGCAATGCCTCCTCCTGCTCTGGTAGGTCCTGCTGACTGACCGTTTACACTGCTTTCCACCTCTGGCTGCGCCAGCTCAGGCATGCACCACAGACAGAACTGTGTGCAAAGGCTCTGCTCTGTGATCTGCTCACCTAGCGGGCATTCTCTACGTCCAATCCCACCTGTGTGAAGCAGCCAGGATGGTCTTCCCTGGTGCATCTGCAATAGTCTGCACCATCTGTCTCCTAAATCCAAACCCTTCTACCTGGCTCTCAAAGCTTTTTGCCAAGTCGGCCTACTTACCTCCAACACCCTAAGCTCTTCTCCTGAATGGTGTTTCCTTTCACTATCCTATTTGGGTAAATCATTATCATTAATCAGCTTGCTGTCCCTCCACTCCCTGACCCTGCCTCAGAATCTGTTTCTTCCCACATCAGTCATTAAAAACGCCTCTTGTTCCTTCTTTAGCATTTCCTCTAATAACATGTGACTGCTATAAAAGGAGAATAACTACCAACCTCAAAAGATTGTTATGACTAGCCCTGGCCAGTGGTTATAGTGTTGGCCCATGCACCAAAGGGTCATAGGTTCAATTACCAGTCAAGGGCACATACCTGGGTTTGGGTTCAGTCCCCAGCCCTGGTGGGGTGCGTGCAGGAGGCAACCCATTGATGTGTCTCTCTCACATCGATGTTTCTCTCTCTCTCCCCTCCTCCCTTTCTTCTATTCTCTCCCTAAAAATCAATGGAAAAAAATCCTCTGGTGAGGATTTAAAAAAAAAAAAAAAGACTGTTATGATTAGATGAGTTAATATACATAAAACTTTTGGATTAGTACCTGGCAGTCACATGTTACAATGATGACAAAGTGACTCATGGACTATGATCCATCATTTTTCGTGTCACACTAGTGATTTGTCTTTTTGGGGGCATTTGTTTAATTTTTTTCCCTATAAGCTTTCATAGCTCAGGAGATAATTTTTTGTACTTTTGTGTCCCTGATGCTATATCATGCACATTGTTTTGCA